ACCTCCTACACCTCTGGCCTGTCCCCCAGTTCTTGTATGCAGAAATAAATAAATCTTTAAAAACAAAATAAAAACAAACATAATTTACCCAATGGAGAGAGTTGGAGGTAGAAGGGAGAATACTGCGATTCACACCAGGATGTCCTGGGTGTGAGTGCAGGGAAGAATGACAGACCGGGGTCCAGGATGTAAGTTAGTTAAAATGAGAAGGCTCCAAGTGTGGACTTCATTAGACCAGAGCCTCTGAGCACTCGGAAGCCACTAGAAGCGTTGCCCTAAGCAGCATTCTATGGTCTGATTTCCACGATCTTGATGAACTGGAGCATGAACTCTTGTGTCACTCTTGTGCCAACCCTGATAGTCAACAAACTCTGCTTCCTGTGAAGTGGCAATCATCTTTGTGGCATCTGTAATTTACATGCCAGGAACTATAGGAAAATCTGAAAATTGTGACATAAAATCCATTTTATAGTAGCTTTTCTTTTAATTGAGATTGTATCAGTTTACAACTGTGTAGACTCTAGGGGACAGCCTCATCTCCTTAGATGATGTTACCACACCACACCCACCACCAAAGCACCCCCTCCCCAGTGTGACCCCCCGATACCTCCAGTAACTTCATGTGCCCTAAAACAGCAAGCCATGGTAACTGGTGAGCCTGGCTTTATCCAGATTGCCTTCTTTGCAGAAATACAGCCCGTTCTATCTCAGGGCTGGGATGCAAGCTGAGACTTCCTTTCATTGTTTCATGTTTAATCATCTAGATTGTCTCCCAGTAAGTTGTGACTTTTGCAGATGGTCAGAACCCCCCCCCCAAAAAAAAATCCTGAAGATAATTTATTGTCTATTAATTTATGACCTAAGAATATTTTTCTTTTCTACGAACCACTTGCTGAAACCTTTTATTCTTATCTGTGCATGTCATTTGCTTCGTATGGATTCATGCTTTTCCCTGGCAGGCATCCACGTGAAGGAGTGTTTATGTCTGTGATTTTTGAGTCCCATGACTTTGTAATGCCAAAACAGGAAGTTGATTTTTATCTTTACCAAAAGTTTGTCTGCTTCTGTGCTGCTTGTTATTTCACAAGTTGAGTCTTTCCCTCTGGAGTTTTCAGGCATCATAAGACACTTGAAGGTCCACTCTTCCCTCGGAGTCTCGGGACTCACCCCTCCTTCCCTGGGGTCTCTGCTCAGAGGCATCTCCACACCAGGCATTTGCTAAGCAGTGGGCACAAGTGTTCTCATCTGAAGCGCTTTGGCTACCTGGTGCTGCAGCATCATTTTCGTCACGATACAATCTCCCCATGCTACACATGATGTTCTCTCATGGCCGTTTTTCCATGAGGACAGGAGATTTATCACTTATTATATGTGTGTGTGTATGAGTACATATTGGTTTAGTGAGGGGATGAAATAATTTCAAGGGATCTGAAGATAAAAATAAAAAGTATTAGGGACATTTTAAGTCAGGATAATAGAAAATATCTTCTATGACTAAACAAAAGTCTTAAATCTCCACTAACAGGTATTTCAATGTTATTAAGCCTTGACTTATGATCTGATACGCAATCAAGTGGTACAAAAGAATATTAGCATAATTAAGAGATTATAGGCATTTGATTTTAAAAGTTACTTTCTCCTCTTAACTTTTTCTTTTTTAAAAGTTTTTCTTATATTTTCTTTCTTTTTTTTAAAAAAGATTTATTTATTTGTGCATACAGAACTGGGGTATAGGCCAGAGACTCGGGGTGACGAAAAACTTCACCAGAGACAGAGTGGAGTGCAGAACAGGCAGATCGACAAAGTCCACTGTTGAGGGGAGCAGCAGGCGGGTCAGGAGAGGTCTGCCGTGCCATGTGGTCACCTCCGGGGCCAGGCGGGAATCGAACTCATGCGGAAGTGGTTTCAGCTTCTTAGTGCTGTGCTTTAACCCGCTGTGCCACCAGGGAGGGCCTATATTTTCTCTTTACTTATTTATTCATACTGGCCTACAGGCCAAAGGTGCAGGAGCGGTGAGAGGCTTCACCGGAGACAGAGTGGGGAGCAGAACAGGCAGATGGACGAAGTCCACTGCTGAGGGGAGCAGCGTGCGGGTCAGGAGAGGTCTGCCGCGCCATGTGGTCACCTCCAGGGCTAGGGAGCAAACTTGCACTAAAGCGGCTGCAGCTAGCTTGCAGTGCTGCATTTAACCCTCTGCACCACCAGGGAGGGCCCTAACTTTTTCTTTTAAAGCTATCGTAGGTTGTATTTTAAACAGTTTAGCTAAATTAAGACTCTGAAGACACTCACTAATAACCCGTAAAAATAAATAAATAAATCTATTTGAAACAAAATCAAGGTTTGCAAAAAATAACCTGGAGGATAAGTTAAAAAGCAATCATTATTTTACCATATTAATGCCTGTTTTCTTTTTGTTTTCATGGCCTAAAAGTTTGTCTTTCTCCTTAAATTCACAGGTTTAAGTAGGGGAATAGCAAAGCTAAGAAAATCTAAAAAGGTTACATGTATGGAAATGGTTGGGCTTACATTCTCCAAGTCGCAGTGGAGATGGAGCTAATTTCCCGCGACCGGGGCTGGATGGTGCTAGAATCCCTGGGACAGTGTGTCTGCATGAGCTCCACCCACTGCTGTTTTACAGACTTCACCCCCACCTCCTTGTCAGAGACCGCCCCCCCCCAACCCCCATCCCGGCGCCAAGGATGTAAGTGCCATCATCCTTCCTGAAGGGGGAGCTGCTGGGAGCTGGGGGTGAACTTCGGCAGCCTCGCGCTTGGTGTAAAACTGAACACACGTGGGCCTCTCGCTCTGCTAAGGGCGTCTGCCTTCGGCATCATCTGGGCGTCTACTCTGACAGCTTCCGGTGGGACGTACTCACCAATTAATCTGTGTGTGCTGCGTGTGTGGGCTCCGCCTGTTCTCTCTCTTGCCAATAACCCTCTTACTACATTTCCCTGGGCGCCTGCCCTTGGGTCTTGGCCTGAGTTTTTAAGCAGTGACATTTCCTTTGGGACTGCCCTGTACAGCATCTTTTCTAAGTCTGCATGTCTTCATGAGAGTCTGAGTGAGACTCAGGTAAGTGGTCAAATTCGAGGTAAGAGCGTTCGCAGAGGTGTACAGGGAGAAGCAGAGCCCAGGGTTTGACACTGACTCTCAGGACAGCTGCCAAAACTTGCTGGTCAACCAAAGCAAACAAAAAGGGAATTCATGCTGTAGAGGGTGATTTGTTCATCTTGCCTTGACTCAGCAAGCCAGGGAAGAAATGGAAGCACCAATTAGAATTCCTAACTAAACTGTGTTCCTGTAAGAGGGCAGTGTGCGTAGCACCAAAACCTATCAAGTTGGAAATGGATATAGCTGTGCTGACAGTAGCCGTCACGCCCGGAGAAATCAGCTTTCCACAGTCTCAAAGAATTCCAGATATAAAAATTCAAAGAAACGTTTATTATTAAACAAAACAGCACAATCAGCCCATGTGCTAGGTAGGATCCCCTAATGATGTCCACACCCCAATATCTAGAACCCACTTTCTACCACATTTTTCACATTCCGTGTTCCTATTCCCTGAAATGTACCACTTTGCATAGTAAAAGGGACTATGCAGCTATAAGGAAGGGGAATGGGAATGATGGAGTCAGCTCAGCGAAATAGAAACACGTAAAAGCAGACAGCTTTCTCTGCCTACCGCAGAATGATGCCGTGGAAGAGGCAGCTGGGAGAAGTGAGAGCGACTCCGACTTACAAGGGACAAACATGCCCTCGCTGGTGAAATGTGGGTGCTGCCTCTAGGTGCTCCCTTAGTGAGAGACCTCC